CCCCCATCCCCCTCCCCTCTAGAACCCTCAGTTTGTTTCTCAGAGTCCATCGTCTCTCATGGTTCGTCTCTCCCTCCGATTTCCCCCCCTTCATTCTTCCCTTCCTTCTCCTAAGGTCCTCCATGGTATTCTTACGTTCCACAAATAAATGAAACCATATGATAATTGACTTTCTCAGCAATTTCTAAGAACCTCCCCCTGCCCCCTCTTTGGAGAACAAAAGGCCAGGTGGACTTCCACATTAAATATCTATTCCAGTCTCACTTCTCTCTTTACTCAGGTTCCATCCCCATGCTGTTATCACCTCCACTTCTTTGGGTTTTTTTGTTTGTTTGTTGTTTTCTTCTACATCTTCTTAGTACATTATTTTCCAAAGTAGAAGTGCACACACACACACACACACATTTATAAATATGTCATCAGCACCTGTTTAAGGGTAAACATTATACTCAAGGAAAAAATGTGAAAAGACAGTGTAAACAGTGAAAGAGCTTATAGCCTGCCAGGGAGAAAGAGATTCAAGCCAACAATTAAACCAGAATCAGATAATTGCAAAGCAAACCAAATAGCATTTTCACAAAGGAAGAGGTAATCATCCAGAATTTGCAGATCACCACTGTAGGTAATATTACCTCCAAGTAAACAACCAATTCCACTGGGCATGCCCCATTGGATCCTTCCTGGCTGAAGCAGAGCTTGTAAGAGTTAGTTCAGACAACTGAAAACAATCAAGTCCATTTTAGAAGCACCCTTCTTGGTGAAATGAAATGAATTTTATTTGAAATAGGCATTGGGACTGAAGCTGAGTTATGGATTTACAAGGTTATAGGCACTAAAAACTTTTCAGAAATCGCTTTCCTGCCTGGAATTCTAAAGGTATTCCAGTTAGAGAAAATTCTTACTTGTATCATTAGGTAAAATGCTTGAATATCCATATAATTTTTTTTATTCAGTGATAATTAACATATGGTGTTATATTAGTTGCAAGTGTACAATATAGTGATTCAACAATTCTATACCTTACTCAGTGCTCATCACCATAAGTGTGTCCTTAATCCCCTTCACCCATTCTCCCCCACCTTCCACCCACCTGCCCTCTGATGACCACCCACTTTGTTTCTATATGTAAGAGTGTGGTTGTCTCTTTTTTTCTTTGTTCATTGGTTTTGTTTCTTAAATTCCACATATGAGTGAAATCAGATGCTATTTGTCTTTCTCTGAGTGACTTATTTCACTCAGCATAATACCCTCTAGTTCTATCCATGTCATTGCAAATGGCAAGATTTATTCTTTTTTATGGCTGAGTAATATTCCATTGTGTGTGTGTGTGTGTGTGTGTGTGTGTACATACACAGCATCTTTATTCATTCATCTATCGATGGACACTTGGGCTGCTTCCAGATTCTTGGCTATAGTAAATAATTCTGCAATAAACACAGGGGAGCATGTATCTTTTCAAATTAGTGTTTTTGTTTTCTTTGGTTAAATCCCCAGTAGTGGAATTACTGGAGCAAATGGTAATTCTGTTTTTGACTTTTTGAGGAAACTCCATGCTGTTTTCCAGAGTGGCTGAAATCTGCATTCCCATCAACAGTGCATGAGGGTTCCCCTTTCTCCACAGCCTGACCGACATTTGTTGTTTCTTGAGTTTTTGATTCTAGCCATTCTGACAGATGTGATGTGGTATTTCATGGTGGTTTTGACTTGTATTTCCCTGATGGTAAGTGATGTTGAGCATCTTTTCATATGTCTGTTGGCCCTCTATAATCTTCATTGGAATAGTGTCTATTCAGGTCATCTGCCCATTTTTTAATTGGGTGATTTGGTGTTCAGGCATATAAGTTCTTTATATAGTTTGTATATTAATGTCTTATTGGGTGTATCTTTTGCAGATATATTCTCCCAATCAGTAGGTTGTCTTTTTGTTTTGTTGATGGTTTCCTCTGCTGTGCAGAAGCTTTTTTATTTTGGTGCAGTCCCGATAGTTTAATTTTGCTTTTGCTTCTCTTGCCGACGAGACATATCTAGAAAAATGTTTCCACAGCCAATGTCAAAGAAATTATTGCCTGTCTTTTCTTCTAGGATTTTTATGCTTTTTGGTCTCACATGTAGGACTTTTGAATATCCATTTTGAATCCATATAAATTTTGGATAATCATTTTATTTAAAAATATTTAAGAGAAATAGATCTAAGGATTACTTTTAAATTAGCAAATCTTTTTCACATTTTAAACCTCATTGATATTATCATGATAATACAAAAAGTCCTTTTTTTCAGTTTATTTGCACATAGTATTGGTAACTTACTGATAGAAGATTCAATGAGATTTTTGTAACATTTGGATATGCCTAATTCAGTTATAATAAACTTGTATAGAATTCACTTTTCAATTTACTTTTAAATAAATAAAATTATTTATTAATATCATTCTGCAAAAGCTATGGTTTCTCTAGCTACATCTTCCAGGCTCAATAAATTAATCTGTGGGGTCAGTTCTGAAGATGATTTACTGTGATGGATGTTCATATTTGAAGAAGTGGAGTTCTAATTTGGTAAAATTAATTTCAAATATTATTGTACCTTTCAGAAAATATACACTCACAAACACTAAATTTTACATATATTTTCAGCATATTTGCAGATCCCTTGAAGCCCACTCCAGGAGAATGGCAAGACCAATTAAAAAAACCCTTTGCTATTATCACCATTGTTATATTTGTAGCTACTGCTCTTTATTAAGTAGTTAGTGTCATTCTAGGCTTTCTCCTAAGAGCAGGAAAAGATTGTCTCCTTTGAGATCTATTAAACATTTATCTGTGCAGTATTAATGCAGTGCGCATATAAAAGCTGTGTGTGTATAAATCCAGTAACATACAGAATATGTTATATAGGTGTGTTTCATAGGGAGGAAGGGAATGAGGGCAACCGATTTTCTGATGTGTCCAAGCTGGTTTTCAATTGCTCGATTCTATTCCAAGTTTCTCAGAGGAAATGGAGACAAATTATATGTAATATTTTTCTATGCATGTGCTCATTTACCTGATGAAGATTTTCCACCCAAATATACTGTGCAAGTTTGTGTGGGTGATTTTGCCCTTTATATCACAATTTCACTGCAAGATCATCAATGCCCTTGCAATGAGGCTATCAAGGCCATTTTATATCCATGATTGTCCCTCTGTGACTATGTAGGTAGTAGAGAAAAGTACCTGAAATAATAGGTAATGGCTTCTGTTTTGCACAGCAAGATCAGTTTCGTATAGAAGGGTCTTACATTAAAAGCAAACATGATCTGATCCCTTGAGAAAAAAAAATGGTGATGTTAAGTATGTTTCTTTTCTAGCGGTAACTTGTCCCAGCATTGAAGCTCAGCTCTCAGATCACGTCACCTGGAGACTGGTTTCAGGATCGTTGAATGAGTATGGTTCTCAGGTAGTGCTCAGCTGCAGTCCTGGTTATTCCCTAGAGGGCCAGAGGCTGCTACAGTGCCAAGCTAACGGAACTTGGAGCATAGGCGAAGAGAGGCCCAGATGTCGAGGTGAGTGGCGGGTACCCTTCCCAGATAACGTAGCCATTCTGAATGATTGACATCACTGGCAACCACCTTTTAACCCACCCCTGTAAGCCCTATAGATTAATAATATAACCAAATGGTATTTCTTGTCATTATAATGATGAATATGAATTTTTATGTGACATGCTTAAAACCTGACTGCTGGATTAAATGTTGAATGTTCTTTTCCTTATTAATGATTGCATTTTATATACTTTAAAATATTAGAATATTCAAATGTTCAAATCAGCTCAAAAACAGATCCAGGCCTATCTTTAAAAAGATAACTCTTATTCCATGCACTGACTATTCAAAACTTCTAATTAGGATCGTGGGAAGTAGTATTTATGCTGAAGATATTGTATGCTCAAATAATGACTGTCTTGAAAAGGGAGATTATTATTCTCATAGGTACAAGATAAGTGATTAAGCCTTTGAGTGGGTTTCATAATAACTATGAATAAATAGAAAAATAAGACAATATTAGTGTTGTTCAGAGCACTATTTGATTCTGATATATTTAACACACACTCTTTAGCAGGTTGTTCACGGGAAATTATCATGCACAAATCAAGTAGTTAGACCAGTGTCAAATGTATAAAACACACAACTTTGTAAGAATAAACCAGAATAAAACCAGAAAAGGACCGAAGAATTAATGCTTTGCTGCCTTTGATATGGTCATTCTAATTCAACTTTTAATAGAACCAATGGTAATAAACATATATTAAGCTCTTCACCAAGAACACAAAGATAAATTAGGGAGGGTCGGTGAACTTCAGGGGCTCACTCATAGTCAAGGTGGACAGCACCCCTAGGTCCCCAAACTGCCTGAAGTCTGTTTTCCAGAGTAATTATTAATGGTTCCTGGTCATTCTCACAAATGTCCTGGTTTGACTCATTATCTGGTCACTGAACTCATAGTGTATTTCCTCTGTGTTCCCCTCCATCTGAGTTAGTGCATCCCCTCTTCCCACACCCATGCCCATCATCCTCAAAGGCACCCACTGTGAAGCTCAGTGCTGTGATTCAGAGACTCAGTCATTAAGATCAGCAAGGAGACTGGAGGAGAAAGATTTGGGAGCCTCTACCTTTTGCCTATCTCAGACTTTTCTAGCCAACACCCTTTTTGTCAGTTTTGAACTGAATCAGAGTCTTAAAAATAGGCACACATTAACTTCTTGGGAGTGGGAAGTTCACTTCTGTGGATGCAACAGTCCAGTCTAGTTTTTGCTCATCTCTCTAACTGTCTGGGGCACAAGGGGAGGATCGTGTCAGGTGGATATTTGCTATGCTCCACACTTTATACTAAAGGCTCATATCTCCATTCCAGAACTGACACTTATAAGAAGACTTATATTTAGAAGAGTGTTTACAAAACCAGGCCTTCCTGATTGTTGAACCAACCTCCTTAGCAGCAAGTTTCCACCTTCTTTTGGGTGGAAGAAAGCAACACTGGGGTTCTACCATCCACAAATTGTGTTTTTGTCTCCATCCTTCTGAAATTCTAGAAAGACTGTCCTGACTCTAATAGACTTCAATCTGGTGATTGAATACTGAGTTTGGTCCAGGAACAAGAGCCAGAAATCCATGTGTGTGGGGATATCTCCTGCCGACTTAGCACACAGATGGATTTCGTGAATTGTCAGCTGTTGATTGACTGGCCTTGCGTGGCATGAGTTGTTATATCACACTTTGTTACTTGTCTCTCTTGAATGTCATCATGGATATGTGGCCTTGTCCAGAGTCAGGGAGGTCCATGAAGTCATTGCTTGCTATTTGTGTGTGTTTTTATTTTATTTTATTTATTTTTTATCCAGGTTGGTAGTTCACATCATCACAGTGTGGCCAGAGAGAGTCCCTTCTACCTGACTCCATCTTGTCCTTCTAATGTCTTTGAGGTTGTCCCTGTTTTCTCATAAAGACAGGATGTTTTATGCTCATCCTGAGGTTTTTGTTTTGTTTTGTTTTGTTTTGTTTTGTTTTTCTGGCCTGAACATGGAATCAGCCATTCTCCAAGGAGCCCTTTTGGTGGAAAATGGTGTTAGAGACCCACTTATGTGCCCAGGGGTATGCTTCATGTTGTTCATGTTATCAGTGGGTAGAGAAAGCTGACACCAAGCCTATCATCACTTTTGTGACCAAACTGAATTTTTTCTGTTTTCTTTCCCCCAAAAGACTTGATATGGATATTTTTGATCAATTTATATCTCTACTGATTTTTTTTAAGTTTTGTACTAACAAAAGAGAGTATCAAAGATGTTCTACTCGTTTCAGAACATTGATGTGTCAGTGAGATATCACAATGCCTAACATTGTGTTCAAATTGTGGTGTGATCTGAAAACTCAGCAGTCTTCACCGCCCCCTCCCCAGTCCTCTCTTTGGTTGCAGTGTTCTGGAAGTGATTCCAGAGAACACAAACCTAGAAACCCCCTCACTGATGCCATTCTATAAACCTCTATGGGACATATACCCCAGCCTCTTGGACAGTAGTGGTTCTCAAGGTCATTCATCCCAGGTATCTCATAGTGTTAAACACTGTTGAGAACCTGTCTTCATTTCTGTTGCTATAGAATCACTAAAACACAATGTAAAACAACACAGATTTGTTATGTCAGAGTTTCTGGGGGCAGATGTTTGCCACTTTTTAGCTGGGTCTTCTGCTGAAGGTTGAGATCACGGTATTGGCTGTGTCCTTATCTGGAGCCCCAACTGGGGGAAGATGGGCCACACTGTTGATGGAATTCGTGTCCATGCAATTTAGGGCTGAGTCCTCACACTGTTGCTAATTGTGGACTAGGAAATGCCCTCAGGCCCAGGAGGCCATGTGTAGCTCTTTCCAATGCACTGCCCATCCCTCTAGGCACTCTGGTGATTCAAATCTCTGGCTCCAGGAAGGACTCAGTTCCTTTAAGGGCTCCTTCACTGGGTCAGTCCCAACAGATAATCCCATGTTGATTAGCTCAAAGAAAACATTCATAACCTCATCATGGTTCTGCCTACAACAAGGGGAGAGGATTTTACACCAGGGAGTAGAAATCTTAGGGTACTATCTTTGAACTCTGCTGGCCACTAGATTCCAAAGACCTTTTTAAAATTTTTAACATAAATTCAAATCAAGAATTATTTTAATGTGTTTATATTAATTCATTTAAATTTAAATGGAAAAAAAATCATTATTCATTTATTTAAAATAACAATGAGATAATTACACCTTACCATGATACCATTTTTCAATAAACAGTAATGACTAATTATTATCAAAAATAAAGTGAAAAAAATTTAGAGCCTTAACATGTATACGATATTTTCTGGGCTCTATAAGAAAATAAAAATAAAGGTATGTTTTAGTTCATTCTTGCTATATAACACATTTTCATTTTATTTTATATTTAAAATGTTCAAATTACATTTATCTCCTATTTCCCTACCTTGCCAACATACACTCAGAAAAACCCGATATGAATCCTGGAAGTAGAATACTTTTTGAAGGGTTTGTGTTATCCTAACTCCAGGCTACCTGAGACCAAACCCAGGTGAAGAAGGCAGGAGACCTAGTCCCACCATGAAACTGTGAGCTTTGCAGTCACTCTCTTTCAGAAGAACCAACTTCCAATGGTTATCCCTAAAGAGACAAGAACAGCAGATTAAAGTTCCATCTCCGGGGTGTCCGTGTATCTCCCTAGCACAAGGACTACATCAAAGGGGGAGGATATTACTTTCTTCTTGTTACATTTCTTTATTGTTTGACTTATCGCTTTAAAAAGTAAGAAAACTATTTATAGAAAAAGAAAAGTAGTTATCACAGAAATCCATGAATCAAAAAGAAACCATCTTTGCATTTTAAATTTATATGCAACTCAGACAGCGCTACCCCAGGATTTTGTTATATTGTAGATATTCAGAGAGCACAGCCTGAATTCTGGACTGTGGCTCCTTCCTAACTGCTAATTTAAAGAGTTCTCTTAAATTAGACCTGGATCAAATGGTGAAGTAGGCAGGTCAGTCTTTGATAACCTTCTATTTGTAACTGGGGGTGCACCTGAATGATCATTAAGTTTTTAAAATGAATTCTTTATTTGCTTTTTTCCCTTCCATTAAAAATGGATTCATGCACACAGCAAGCACATGGGAGTATTTGTCCATCAGCCTGCTTCATCTGTCCTAAGAAACTACAGAAAGAACATTCTCACTCCATTCTATATTGGAGTGGACATTGATCATCATTCAGAGCAACCTAAAGTTGAATTTTCTTTATAATGTACTCACAAGTAAATGTCCGGTTGGCATTAAATAACTCTAGGGGCACTCATGAGCCCAGGGGCAGCTGATCGCATGTTTGAATATTTTCACTTTGAGCAAGTCCTTCTTGTTGACTTATATCCAGGCTTCTTGGCTTCATTCCTCCAGGCCTAAGACAGTGAATCCAGACTGTGGTCTACGCAGCATGCCTTCACAGACTTACAAAGGATCATGTATCCTTTGACCTTGTGTGTTCAGTAGGCCTTTTTCAGATAGAATGTATTTGAAAGTCCCTACTCTTGACCTTATATTTATTTGCCACACTCCCTAATAATATCCGTATTTCTGATAGGAATGCTGGCCCTACAGGCATGAGAAACGCTATGTCACAATATGACTTTTTTTCAAAGTCAAGGATTTCAAAATGAATGTACTCTTGGAACTGAAGACAAGAGGAAGGAGGCTTCCCTTGGCGGGTGGGGAGAGACACATGGCTTGCCGTCCCTGGAAACAGTGAGAGAATACAGTAGGCACAGCATGTCAGGGCAGAAGCCGGGGGGAGGTGTCATGCCTCCAGCTGAAGCATCCTCTGTGTGTGATTCACACTTTGACAACTCAGAGGAGGTACTTTAGACTGTGTGCATGAATATGTCTTTAATGGAAGGGAAAGAGGCAAATAATTCATTTTGAAAACTTGAGGGGAGAAAGGAACATGGAAATGAGGCTTTACCTTGGGTGTTTGACAAAGCGTATGTGTGTATGTGTGTGTGTGCGTGTGTGTGTGTGTGTGTGTGTGTGTGTGTGAGTGAGACTGTGTTGGGGAGTTCTCCCTTTCAATTAGGGTAGCTTTTCCAAATTAGTGCTGCTATCTTCATTAATGTATTGGGTTTCCTGCCAACTGAAACTCTACCATCTGAGGCCCCATTATTCAGCTGCTGAAAAGCTAAAAGTTTGCTCCATTAGCTCTTCTTTACAGTCTAGCGAACCTTAGTGGAGGACAGATCTAAAATATATTCATTCCCTGGGTATTTTTAACAGAGGCTGAAAGAACGGGGCAGAAACAAAGCAGAGTGAGCCTTTCTGCTAGTCTTTCCACTGAAGGTGCGTCAACACCTCTGAGGACACGTGCTCAGAATTCATTGCTGATTAACACTTTTCTGACCCATGCAGAAGCTTCAAAACACGGCCCAATTATCCTAAATGGCTACGCATGGATCTTTAAATACCATAACTCAAGGTGAAGTTCATAGTGTGTTAAGGAAAAGCTTAATTGAAAGCTCATAATAAATCGTAAAAAAAATAAAATTAAATTAACACTTGGAATTCATTAACATTTGGTATAGCAGACATGTTAACAATATTACTAAATGCATGAGATGTAACCCCATAAGAGTTTAGGGACCCCAGAAACTAGTAAATCAACAACAGTAACGTTCTGATCACAACCTCCTCTGGAGCTGAACTGTCCGAATTCTCAGTGAGCAATCCCCCTAGAACACATACTACCTGGCTGTGTCTGTCTGCTTGAAAAGGTACCACAGTCATGACACCTCAGAGTAAGACCGGCCCCAGTGCAAAAGACTGGTCTAAACAGCACGCCCATAAACTCTGTCTTCACTCAAACTATCAGTGAAGGTGTTCACACTGAGTCAGTTCACAGAATGGGTCCCAGGTCTGCTTTGCGCTAGTTAACCCTGACTGAGCCCAGGCCCCGTGCAAGGTGTGGCTTTGCTGTTTGCATGTGTCCTCTCTTTGAATCCAGTGCACAATTCCGTGTGGCAGGCATTGCCTCTCAACCCTTGAGAGTGGAGCTAATGAGAGCCCAGGGACTTGGAGGAGGCAATGGCAAGGCACCTTTGAACCTGAGTGGCCTGCAGCCAGCTCTGGGTTCTGAATCGCTGTCTTACCGCCTCTGATCAGTTTACTATTAATAGGGACTTGGTATTGTTAGCTACTCGCCACCTTTGCCCTAAGCCCCTTGCGAATAACTCAGTGCAGCGGGAACTCCCTTGTGCTCTTCTTAGAGCGGGCTTCAAACCCTTGGTTCTTATGTGTGTGGGACACACATAAGCCCCTGTGGTGCAGTTGGCCTCGATGACTTTGTGGTTTCTTCTTCCCGTCAGATTCCATGGACCTTTTTTGCTCAAACGTTTCTGGGTTTGGAATGTGGGGAGTTGGGTGGTGCAAAAAGGATAAATAATGAAAGTGATCATTAATTCTATCTCCCGAACTAGAGTCATCTTGTTGAAAGTGGACCCTGTTAATGATCATGCTGGGAAAATAGGTGTACATGGGGGCTCAGTCACCCCAGCTACAACGACTGAAAGTCTGGATTTTGTATTTTTTTAATTTTCAGAAAGGCTCGGGGACGCCTGGGTGGCTCAGTGAGTTAAGCGTCTGCCTTTGGCTGAGGTTATGATTCCAGGGTCCTGGGATCGAGTCCCACATCGGGCTCCCTACTCAGCGGGGACCCGGCTTCTCCCTCTGACCCTCCTCCCCTCTCATGATCTCTGTCTCTCTCTCTGTGTCAAATAAATAAATAAAATCTTTAAAAAAAAAAGGAAAGAAAGAAAGGCTCCACATAGCCGCATAGTCAGCATTTTTATGCAGCTCTCAATCCCAACAAATCATGCAAGTCAATGAAAGAAACGGTGAACGCAAGCCTTCCATTGGAGCGAGCATCCTCAGTTTTGTGCGGCAGTTAATTGACTTGTGGAAGATCACTCTCGTTCCTTAATTCCCAAAGGTCACACCCGTGTCCAGAACCTGCCATGTCATTCTCCCGGCTGCTGCACACAGGAGGGTGGGCAGGCAGCCCACGCGTTTGACTGGCCTGCTTGTGGGATGTCTATACACTGCACAGTTTTATAATCTGCTCTAAATGCTCACATTTTCATTTCAAGGGTGTAAGAGAAGGAAAATTAAACTTTCTGTGTGGTTGACCTACCCAACTCTAAGCAGACATCCCTGTCCCTAATAAACATTGGGACTGAAGATTTTGTCATTTTTGAGCAAAAGAATAATCCGTGGACTTGAAATAATATTCGCTTTCTGTTTTCCTTCTAGTGATCTCCTGTGGAACCCTCTCCTTTCCCCCAAATGGTAACAAGATTGGTACACTGACAGTCTATGGGGCCACGGCCATATTTATGTGCAACACGGGCTACACCCTTGTGGGGTCTCACGTCAGAGAATGCTTAGCCAACGGACTCTGGAGTGGCACGGAAACACGATGTCTGGGTAAATTCATCTATCATCTGGCACTTCTTTCATTCACATAAGCCTTAAAAATACAGTACGGTTGGGTAAAGCCTAACACTTCTTGCTATAAATGCTCCCACAACTAAATCCTCCCTCAGGCTTCAGCACTCCACTTCACACTGGGACTTCTTCTGTAAGTAGCTAAAAGGATTTTTTTTTTTTTAATTTGACCAATAAATGAAAGTCACTTATTGCCTTAAGTGACTTAAACACTATTTTACAGAGTGCTGAGGATATCACTGCACTTAATGTCATCAGGATTTTAGGACACACAAACATGATATCCAAAAATATGACGCACTTTATTTTTTAAAACTTTAAAAATTGTGTCAGTAAGTGGAAGTAAGATCAATCAACGTAAATACAGTGAATTATTTCAAATGGAACATACATACAATAACTTGTTCTTTTTTTGCCCCAAGGTGAAATTTTTCTGCATGCTAATTTAAAAAAAAAATTGGAAAATTTTTTTCATTGAAAAAATCTTTTGTGAATAAACATAAGGAAATTGTTGAATAGGCAGCTTAAAGTATACTGATTTATAATGCTCCTGTAGGTCTCCAAGTAATTAGTAAAATATCTTAACTGCTTTTTGCCCTTTTGACTTCTTTCTGGGATCTCAGTAATTTTGTAATCACTCAAAAGCTATAGAAGCTGGAAAGCTTAAGCCTCTGACTCTCTGTGGGCTGGAAATCACTTCAGGACTGAAGCCAGGACCAGTAAATTTTGAATAGGAAAATCTGTTCTTTTTACTTGAGGTAATTTGAAGAAATACTCAGGAGAATTGCGGGGGGAGGGGAACAGAGAGTGAAACTTAAAAGTAGTAATTCCAGAGAAAATCAACCAGCAAAAGGAGTTTCTCACTCTTATCCATAAAAAGGCACCTGCTTTCTTGAAATCACTGTCATCCCTACATGAAGGCTGCTAGCATACTACTTTGTGTGTACACATATATTCTTGTTGGGTGTGGTTAGTGCGGTTTTCCATAGACCGTGAAATTTCCTTGGACTATGTGTGGTGCTTTGCGTTGAGAGTCGCTAGTGCTTCTGAGACTGTCTGTCCATCCGAAGCGTTCTTATGGGGTGTCTGGTCATTGAACACCACCCTCCTTAAGGCTGTGCTGCATTGGGGTAGGTATTCTTGGTTCTCATCAGTGACATTAGCACCATAGAGGGGAATCAGGTGATCTAAGAAATTTACATCTGTGGTATGATTGTGATGATGGAAAGCAGTGACAATTTACATTTGATTAGGGCTGTGTTGCTGACTAAAACCTCATTAGGTAAGAGGGTTATTGTCGCCTCAGGGAGTCTGAGGGGCACGTCCATTTTTTGAAACTATTCTATCATGGGGTCTGCTGGAGTCTTACTGATCCTGAATAAGCCTTCACCTTTTCTGTGGTATCTTCTGACTGAAGGTAGGACTTTGAAATAGAAAGAATGAGCAACATATTGCACGGTGGGTGGGGCCTAGGTGCCCAAAAGTGTGGCTCCAGTGTGATGCAGTATGTCTTAGAAGCTTTTGGGAGAGGGAGTGTTCAGAAGGAATTTAAGCTGAAAATAAAGAGTAAGTACATCTGGGGCACCTGGGTGGCTCAGTCGTTAAGTGTCTGCCTTCGGCTCAGGTCATGAGGATCAAGCGCTGCATCGGGCTCCCTGCTCTGCGGGAAGCCTGCTTCTCCCTCTCCCACTCCCCCTGCTTGTGTTCCCTCTCGCTCTGTCTCTCTCTGTCAAATAAATAAATAAAATCTTAAAAAAAAAGATTAAGTACATCTGGACAATAATGTATAAAACATTAGTGTTCTAGAACCTGGATCTGGAATATAAGGAATAATGAAATTGGAAGAGGCAAAGAATCTTAAAGAAAAACTAGTAGAACAGTATTAGATATGACACAGCCACATATGTTTATAAACCAATGAGTAAACAGAAGTCAGTATATATGGTTTCACAGCTACTAGTGAGACTTGAAAATTTAATTCATAATATACTCCTACATTGGAGATATTGTGGATTTGGTTCCGGACCACCACGATAAAGCAAATATCACAGTAGAGTAAGTCCAATGAATTTTTTGGTTTCCCACTGCATATAAAAGTTATGTTTACACTATACTGTAGTCTATTAACGTACAATAGCATTTTCTAAAAAAATGTGTATACCATAATTAAAAAATACTTTACTGCTCAAAAATGCTAACCCCCACCTGAGCTTTCAGTGAGTTGTAATCTTTTTGCTCGTGGAGGGTCTTGCTTCAGTATTGATGGCTGCTGGCTGATCAGGGTGGTGGTTGCTTAAGTTGGGATGGCTGTGGCAATTTTTTTTTTTAAATAAGACAACACTGAAGTTTGCTGCATTGATTGACCCTTCTTTCACAAAAAGTTTCTCTGTAGCATGCAATACTGTTTGATAGCATTCTACCCCTGTAGAACTTCTTTCACATTGGAGTCAGCCTTCTCAAACCCTGCTGCTGCCTTATCAAGTCAGTTTATGTAATGATCCAAATCCTTTGTTGTCATTTCAACAGTCTTCACAGCATCTTCACCAGGAATGGATTCCATCCCAAGAAACCACTTTTTTTGCTCATCCACAAGAAGCAACTCCTCATCTGTTCAAGTTTGATCCTGAGAGCACAGCAGTGCAGTCCCATCTGCAGGATCCACTTCTGATTCTCATTCTCTGGCTCCTTCCACCCCATCTGTGGTTACTTCCTCCATGAAGTCTTGAACCCTTAAAGTCATCCATGGGGGCTGGAATCCACTTCTTCCAAACTCATATTTGTATTGATATTTTGACCCCTTCCCATGAATCACAAATGTTCTTCATGGCATCTAGAATGGAGAATCCTTCCTGGAGGGTTTTCAATTTACTTTGCCCAGATCCATGAGAGGAATCACCATCTATGGCATCTATAGCCTTATGAAATGCATTTCTTCAATAATAAGACTTGAAAGTTGAAATGATTCCTTGATCATGGGCTACAGGATAGATGCTGTGTTAGCAGACATGAAAACCACATTAATCTCATTGTCCGTCTCCATCAGAACTCTTGGGTGGCCAGGTGCATTGTCAGTGAGCAGCAATATTTTGAAGGGAATCTTTTTCTCTGAGCATTAGATCTCAAGAGTGGGTTTACGATATTCAGTAAACCATGTTGTAGACAGTTGTGTTGTCATTCGGGCTGTGTTTTTCCATTTACAGGGTATAGGCAGAGCAGATTAAGCATGATTCTGAAGCACCCTAGGATTTTCAGAATGGTACGTGGGCATTGGCTTCCACTTAGAGTCACCAGCTGCATTAGGCCCTCACAAGAGAGTCAGCCTGTCCTTTGAAGCTTTGAAGCCAGGCATTGAAGTGTCTCCAGCTACGAAAGTCCTAGATGGCATCTTCTTCCAACAGAAGGCTGTTTTGTCTACACTGAAAATCTGTTATTGAGTGTAGCCACTTTCCTGAATTCTCTGAGCTAGATCTTCTGGATGATTTGCTTCAGCTTCTCCCTCAACACCTGCTGCCTCACCTTGTCCTTTCATGTTATGGAGACGGCTTCTTTCCTTAAACCCACTAACGAACCTCTGCTAGCTTCGTACGTTTCTTTTGCAGCTTCCTTACCTCTTTCAGCCTTCATAGAATTGAGAATTCAGGCCTTGTTATGGATCAGGTTTTGGCTTAAGGTAACATTGTGACTGGTTTTTTCTTCTGTCCAGACCACTAGAACTTTCTCCGTATCAGCATAAGGCTGTTTCACTTTATTATTATTATTTGTGTGCTCATTGGAGTTGCATTTTTAATTTTTTCAAGGGTTTTTTGTTTGCATTCACAATATGGCAAACTGTTCGGCACAAGAGGCCTCACTTTTGGCCCATCAAGGTTTTCCACATTCCTTCCTCAGTAAGCTTAATCATTTCTAGTTTTGATTTAAAGTGAGAGATGTGTGACTCTTTAACTTGAACACTTAGAGCTCATCACAGAATTATTATTAGCCTAATTTTAATACTGTTGTGTCTAAGGGGCTAGGGCAGCTGGAGGAGAGGGAGCAAGACGGGGGAATGGCTGGTGAATAGAGCAGTCAGAACACATGCATGTCAGTGAAGTTCACCATCACACATGGGCATGGTTGGTGGTGCTCCAAACCAACAACAAGAGTTACAGCAAAGATCACTGATCACAGATCACTATAACAAATATAATCCTAATGAAAAGTTTTGAAATATTGTCAGAATTACTAAAATGAGACATGGAGACATGAAGGGAGCAAATTCTTTTTCTTTTTTTTTTTAAGATTTTATTTATTTGAGAGAGAGCGAGGGAGGGAGGGAGAGTACAAGGAGGGGGAGCAGCAGAGGGAGAGGGAGAAACAGACTCCCCGCTGAGCAGGGAGCCCGATGCGGGACTTGATCCCAGGACCCTTGGATCATGACGTGAGCCCAAGGCAGACCTTTAACCCACTGAGCCACCCAGGCACCCGAAGTGAGCAAATTCTGTTGGAAAAATGGCACCAATGTACTTGTGTAAAGCCAGGTTGTCACAAACCTTCCTTTTGTAACCATGCAAAATCTGCAAAGCACAATGGAATGAGGTGTGCCTGTGCATGGAATATGGCAATGAAAGGTATCTCTTTTCCTGAGTAATGGAATGCCAATGTATAGATAACATGGTATAACTCAGTAAGAATATATGTCCATGGGACCCATAGAAACACAGCTAAGGAAAACAGATAGGAGAACAGAAGTAAAGTCAGTGCTAGAGAAAATCCTAAAATAGTCAGACAGATCAAGGGAATAGAGGCTCCAGTCCTTAATCTGGCACAGATACTTGATAAAGTAGCTAGTGGATACCACCATAGTCAAAAAATTACCTAGATGCCTTATTGGATATAATAATTTGAATGAAATTATTTATTGATAATGAAAAATGTACAATGCATTTTTCAGTTTTATTGAATCTTCATCAGAATGTATAGGAAATAAATATCATCCTCAA